TTGTCACCGCATCCGACGTTAATAATCTCGGTAAATTCGAGGCAGATCCGACGAGGACGAGCAGGGTGTCGACTACAGAAAGAAAATCACCGACCTCGACCTAATCATCAGAAGACGGCAGAGATCTCGTACGTGCTATGAATTATTCGGGAGTTCGCGTGCGTTATCATATCACGTCGAGAAAATATGAACTGACATCAACATAAAAAAAAAATTATAACAGAATTAATATAATATGTAATATAGAATATCTTTTTTGCATATATAGCATCATAAAAGTTAATATATTATTAAAAATTTCTTAAACAAAATGTACGTATTGTATATTTACATTATTTCTTTAAATTCAGCTTAAGTGTTTATTTTACTTTCTTTAAAAATTAAGCAATATTTGTGATGTAAATATAACCGATAGAATATTTTATTTGCGCGGAGGATCAGAAATGTTAGCGCGATATAACAAAAAATTGTTAAATAATATAGTATATATATGTATATATATAACATTATTTATTTAAATTAAGATTGCATGTTTATTTTACTTCCTTTAAAAGTTAGGTAATATTTGTGAAGTAAATAGAACTGATAGAATATCTCATTTGCGTGGAAGATCAGAAATATTAGTATATTATTAAAAAACTGTTAAATAATATAATGTATATGGATACTAAATTATTTATTTAAATTAAAATTGTGTGTTTATTTTTATTTCTTTAACCTTCACAAAACAGGAAAGCCATTATCATGGTTGGTCAAATTTTGAGGCAAAAAATACAATAAAATAATAAATTATAACAAATCTACTCAAAAAGAAAAGTTGTAAGATTTAGAAAATAAATCTGTCTTCTAAAAGTTAAATGTTATAGGTAATATTTGTGATAATATAATGTAATTTTACAGCAACATTTATTATCTCTGAAGTCTTTAACTGAATTCCTATTAACGTACAATTTTTTTGTGAATTATTTACATCAATTCTTTTATATTATTATTGGAAACTACTGCGCGAATATCAGCTGCTGACTCAGGATAGCATTATAATTCGTAACAATTTGTGAAGGAAACGCGGGTGGAAAAATAGTAACGAGAAAATTTCCTTCGCCGTGAACTTGAACCTTTTAACTCATGGATATCGTCTTTTATCATTGCCCTAGGGGGTCAACAACATCTCTATCATCCTTCCAATACGTCGCCACATCGCGAGTTAAACGGGGGTGGCCAATTGGAAAATTTCCGATCAAATTTTCACCAACTTGAATCGCACAGCTAGAAATCAGATTGCGAATCCTTTTCTACCTTCGCGCGTCGGATTTTCCCGGCGGCGAAAATTCACTGTCTCCTTGCGATGCCATAAATTGTGGGATTAAACGGGATAAGATTGCGAAATCAGCAGTTAATCGACTCAAAATCGTTTAGGTCCGTGCGATAAATGTCGCGAAGTAATTAATCTTTTGAGGACATGATCCTTCTAATAAAGAAACTTAAGGAAGATCTTGTTTTCTAAGGATTTGTAGAGTTGCTGAACTTAATTTTGGTTTCAGAAATCTGAATTCAAATAAAAAAAAAAACTAATTATCGTGAAACTCGGTTTTCGGAGATTCTTAGTATTACTGAGTTTGAATGTGGCTTTCTTGAAAATGTCAAATTTCAAACGGACAGTTACTTCCAATAAGGAGACTCTGATATTAGAGGCTCATAGTTAGAATTTGAAAGTAAGTTTGAAAATTTTAATACCAACTGTCTGCGTAGCATAAATGAGCTTCGAATACAGCGAAACTGGAAATGTAATATTATACCTTACAATTAAAAATTCCCTAAAATTGCGTTTTACGATAATCAGATTAATTTTTTGAAATTCTATTCGCATTATCGAATTTCCCATTATTAATTTTCTTTTTTGATCTTGTAGATTCAAATAAAGTATTATCAAATTGTTTCAGAGGTTACATTTTATAAAAATCGAACGAGCAATTTATAAAATAAAAGGGGCAACTCTAAATGAGGTTGTTCGTCCACAAAGGGGTAAAGATGAATATAGAAGGCGAGAGATACAGTTGGACCCTTTCTATAATACTAAGTAAAAGAAAAGTAAGTACCGAGAAAATATAAACGGTAATAATACATAATGGTACCTGCTGCTGCTTTTGATAATATGAGCAGACTCGTCGACATAAAAAGGTTTGCAAAAAAAAAAAGTGCTACCATCATTCTTCCTCTGCTGTACTGCTGCGACAATCGTGTTACGACGGAAGGATGAGAGCATAACGCGGAGAGGAAATAAGAGGCTGAACCATGCAACATATGCGCCACGATGCGAGGTGCAGTAAAGATTAAGCAAAGAGCGCGCGGCAGTGAAGTTGCTTCGAGGGGATTTACGATAACACAAACCCAGAAACATGGTGGGAAATGAGAGCGGTTCGTACACACATTCCGATTAATTCCGCCGGAGGTGTTTCGTTTGAACGATTTTCTCCAATTACGCGTTATCTATTCTCTCTGGAAATTCACCTCTCTTTTCCTAAATAAGACGAGAATCTATCGCGCTCATCAATCGCGTCAACCCGCGCGTAGCTCGTTCTATTTCCTTGTGTCGGGTTTAATCGATATAATGAACGATAACAGGCAGCCGGATATTAGCAAGGTGCTTCTTTCGGAAGCTGAAGAAAGGAGATTGCGTCGTGGGCTCAAATCGATTAGCATCAAGCTTGATAAATTAAGTCGAAGCTTACAATTAGTGCTTGAATATTTCGACGTAAATTTATATAAACACATTCAATTCTGTAAACTGTATACCGAAAGCTTTTTCAGTCTTGAAATGCAATCATGAATTGAAGTAATAATATCATATATCAAGTTGACAAGTAATTTAATAATATTGATGCTAATATATAAGAATTTTAAAAACTGTAAATAATTTGTTGCAAATGAGAGGTACATTAAATTTTTCTTCTACGTTTAAATTATCAATAATTAAAACATCGAATTACAAATAGTGATAAAAAGTATTATGACTGTTTTTTTATTCATTAATATATTAAATTCGACTTGTATGTGGCATAGATTGTAAACTATTGAAGAGTTTCAATGTATATTTGTGTGAAGTGTCAGTCAATTTTATTTATTAAGCTTCATAAATTGATTAAATTGATAAAAAAAATATTAATAAAGAAGTTACATGGCCAAATAATTAATTTAAATTAAATTAATATCGATATCAAATTTATAAATAAGGTAAAAAAGTGTTTACAGCAGCGTAATTGATGCTCGTATTATAATTGATGATTAAAGTTCAGCGTGCAATATATATAATGTAATTAATGCACTGTAATTATAATCGAACAACGCATAATACTTAATGCATATAATGCTCGGTTGGTGTTAACTTAACACCTTGCATATTAGCCAGAAATTACTTTATACACTTTTGGTCAGTTTCTCTCTCGGTAATGTAATGCGTTAAAGTTACTGAAGAAAAGGTCACCGCATTTACTAATTGAATCGTACAAGATATAAATATTGAAAAATATAATCTTTAATTATTGAAAATGGTTTTGTTGTATGTACTGAAAATAACTCAAAATATTTTATACTTTTGATGAATATGCAATTTGCACTATTAAATTTATAATATCAAATTACCTATAATTCTCAAATTATTTTTAATCATTTCTATTGCCACTATACTTCTACTTGACATGTCGTGAATTTAACCAAAACAATAAAGTCAAACAATGTTGTAACTCAAGAAAATGTATTAAATTCGAATACTCAAATTTAATTTATTATTTGCTTAATGCTTATGTTAATATGGACATTAAACTTTGAAACTACAGAGATGCATTAATTCACATTTTAGACACACGTGAAAGGTAAAAATAACAAAGTGTTATTTAACTCAAGGGATTGCCATTGTTTTGATATCTAACATGATAATTACTTTCATAATTTAGCACTACAATCCAGCTTGGCTCGGAGCTCTTTATTATTATGATTTTGTTTCTAATTATTTGAATCTCTGATCTATTATTTTTGCTTTTAAAAAAAATATCGTTTCCTTACACTTCAAAATTCATATGTGATTTTCGAATTATTACCATAAATGAGTTAGGTAATGATTACTCTACCAACAATTAACAGTAAATCAACTTAACTTCACAATCCGCGAAGTAGCACTTGTGTTGTTCTTAACGTTTTCAAGAGATCATAATACCTTTTAATAGATCATAGTATCTTCTACAATAATGATACGTTTCAAGTGTCGTTTTTGTAAATAAAAGCAGTTTTCTAAAAAAAAAAAAAAAAAAAACATTTAGAGTTAAAACAGTTCAGTGATTGAAGCTTGAGGAAGAAAGTGTTTTATTTTGAACTTAATCATTTTAGTTGATCAAGGTAAATACAAATAAACTGTTGGTGATATATATTTTTCGAGTTATATCATTTTATTTATTTATTACCTTTGATGAATTTTATATATATATAAATTTTGAAAAGTTGTTTTTTAAGGATTGCAAAACAAAAATAACATTTGATTATGTTTCTAAAAAAGTATATTCTTTTGCCGATATTATTTGATTAATCAATAATTTTATGTCAAATTGAAACATAATTTTCCTCTTTCCTGAAAAACTTTGTTTTTTAAGTTGTTATTTTTAAAGTAAGGGAATGATACATGGATACGATTGTATCGATAGAAATAAAAATCGTGTTATCTTTTGAGAAGATCGTATCGCTGGTTATATATATGAGATATATATATATATATAAATATATGATACACAGAAAATCAACAGCAAAGATACGAGCAACATCTATCACAGAAATTCGAGTTTATAGTAATTCTTTTGTAAACAATCATTTTCATGTAAGATATATAGTTTCTTCCACGACGAAATCTTCTTATCTCAGTTAAAAGGAAGGAACTGGTCGTAGCGCTTTTGTTCGGGATGCGCGCAGAGAGAGAGAGAGAGAGAGAGAGAGAGAGAGAGAGAGAGAGAGAGCACCTGGAAAGCCCTTTTTGTAGCCCGGCGGCAAAAATGCGGCGGGTGGCGTGATGGGTGGCGCCGTGTCCCAGGAGGGTACGACATCCGGCTGCATCCCATAGCCCGGCGGAAGCTCTAGGACCTTCTGCTGCTTCTCACAGCGTCGACGTCGGCGTCCGCCTGGCGCGAACGTCTTCACGGTCGCCAAAAAGCCGACTCCGCTCATGTCTTCCCGTCGAGACTTCGTTTTCGCACAATCTTTTTGTCCCGACTTGTGTCCGATCGACTCTATTTGCGACTCTATTAGTGCCCGGGAGCTAAACCGAATGGTTCGCGTCCCGATTCGGTGTACTAGATGAAAATCGAGCTGGCGGGTGAAAAGCGACCGATGAATTATCGGCTAACCAATCGATGAATTTGGTAATCCATGTAGAGATCATGAGAGCTTCGGAAAAAAACACATTTTTCCACATTGAAAAAAATTCCTGGTTGAAAATGAATGAACCAGAAGATTCTGACCATGTCAATTCAGAATTCTGATTATCCAGAATTATATAACTAAAATTATACACAGAAAAAACTATTCCTAAATCGACAATAGTAAGATCTTACTCATATGTAAGATGTTAAAAAAACCCTTCAGCATTTACATAGTAAAACTATAGAAGAGAGACAATAAGTCAAATGATACTAACATATAAAACTGTTTTATACATAATATTTTAGAAATGGTTGAGCTATTTATCTATGTTCAAGATTTCATTACTCGTTGTCGGTGTGTACTATCATATAAATTTTGAACTGTTTATTTTGTAATCTTAGACTTAAATCTTTAAAAGATTTAAGTCTTCATTTGTATTTATGCAAGGATTACTTTGGGTTCAATTCGAGACTAAAACTCTTGCATCAATACAAATTCAGTCAAGCCTAAAAACTTTGAAGCAAGGTTACAATATATTTTTGCTTGTACTTGAGATTGTAATATTATTGTCGATTTAAGACTAATTTGTTTCTGTGTAATAGTAAACTAACAATTAGTGTGTTGGCTCTATTGGTATTTACACTTTTGCTTAATTCTCTAAAGCGTTTTTTCTCTTCTTTGTGGAATTATATAATAGATTTAACTAGAAAATTCTGATTTATCCATTTTCCAGAATTCCAATTAATGCAACCAGACTTTTTTTTTCCAATGCATGATTAAATTTGAGGCTGCTAATGCGAGACGATATCGCGACGGCACGAACGACACGATGTAGATTTGAGAACGTGGAGGATGCGATGAAATGCGAACGACAGGAAAATGTAGCGACACAGCAGCGCTATTTAGAGTTAAAATTCGAGAATGTAGGCGCGATGTAAAATTGTGGCGATATTACCAAAATTACAACAGTATTTACTTCACTATTACAACAATATTACTTCACGATAGGTAAACACAGTATGAATGGGAAAACAATATTTTTTTTTTAACAAAACACCTTTCCATAAATATTTCAATTTTACTCGCAGTTTATTTAATGGTTCGTTTATATTGTGACAATATCGCGCTATTTGCTGAAGGGCGAATGGTTTTTTTATTGATTCATATCTTGATGTAAAATACACATCGCGTGCAATTGATCTATTGTCAAAGAGACAGGGAAACAGTGCAGTGTTATTTTGACAACAATAGTTGCGCAATCGAAGTAGTTTTGTAATGGCAGTTTAAAACGATCACACTAGTTGCGCGTCATAATAACGAGTATCGTATTAAATCAGTCGCTACACACCAGATACAAGAAGCATAAACCGTCTGTACGGCAACTGTATTCAGCGAAAAACTTTTAATCGCGCCTGGTTGTTAATCCTACTGTACTGGTGGATAAGCTTCTTTAAACTCGACACGAACAAAATACTTGCTCCATTTCCCGCAACGGTCTTGATTCAAATCCGCGAATATATGTGTATAATAATAATAATACGATATTCGCGAAAAAAAATTGCGTACAAGTATAAAATAGGATTTCATCAAGCGTTCATTCTCGCACAAAAAAGTAGAATCTAACCCGAGATTAAAAGTTTCCTCTCCCTCCTTCTTCTCGTTTTCGTACGAAATTAAAGCGCTGAAACCTTTCTAGAAATGAGATTGAACTTTTTGTCGAGTCTGAAGACGGTTCTAATTGCGTGTAGCTCGATCTATTATTACAACTTGATCGTTGTAATTAAAAATTAATCATCAAAGTAATAAAAATGTACTACTGCGGATGACAATTTAGCCATTGTATCGACAATCAAAATAAAAATAATTTTTGATAATTCTTCACAGTGCTTACTAATAAAAAAAAAATGAAGTCAATTAACGTTTATAAAAGCTTCTCTAATTTATCTTACAAAATAATATAATTTAATGCTGTATATAAAAATAATTTACCTGAGAATTCTCAAGACGCAACACTCGCTAAGCTTAAACAAAGTTTAATCAACGTTTATATAACTTGGGCTTCTCTAACTTATTTTCTAAAATAATGTTCTTGTAGTTATTCAGCGCTTTAACTTGTTCCAAATATATTCAGGATTAAGAGTTTCCGATCGATCGAGATTGTTTGCAGGGTTGCGCGCAATTTCAAACTCTTCCATGGAACGCGCTGGCATAGACGAGTTGCTGGAATTTTGCATCGCATTCTCCGCGAAAGCTTGTTCACAAGTAGAAACGGACGTTCACGCATAAAGAATTCGGCTATCGAAATTTTTCACGAGTTTTGAACGCTTGCAATTTATGTTGCAACGTTTAGGATTTGCTCAAAGCATGCACGGGAAAATACGTGCTGAGAATAATTCGTAAAATACGTAATCATCACGTTCACGTTTTTACATCCACAAACAGGTTCAGTCTAAAAAAATTCTAAATATCACGATATTGCTTTTAAATGTTTATTCATATATTGCGTGTTTAAGAACGAAATATTAGATTTTGCTCTCTCAATATTCGCGAGAATATTAAAAACGGAAATATTTTATATATCTTCCGATCTACGAGTTGATGGATTTTGACATCGTTCATAGAATGTACCGTCGCGCTTAAATTGTTTACGAAGCAGTGCGTTTATATTAAATTGTCGATGTCAGCCACTCTTTTCATTTATGAAATTTTAATGTCTTCGCCTACATCCTCATCACGTAGTCGCGTTCTGTCTATATGAAAATTACGTTCTTCATGTATTATGTACAGAAGCTCACTGAAGATTGCTGATGGAAGTTTCGTACGTGCGTATGTCTGCGACAAATCGATTAGATGCGGTTGCAGAGGTGATCGAGGATGGTGATACGCAGCATTCCCTTTGATATTAATTCGTCTCATGCTAATTACTACAGCAACGATGATTTCCAACTGACAATTTCGAGTTTAACAAACGAAACATGACAGATGTTAATAAATCAAATAATAGCTCGTGTTTCACAAGCGCAGCCAGATGATAAAAGAAAGCTCACATAAAAGAGCAAATTTCGCGCGAAACTAAACTTATGATTCTTTACCCCGATAATTCCAGCAACGCGTTACGTGAAAGCGAAAGTCGCAACGAAAACTTTGAAAGCAAAACTGCACGATTTAAAAAAAAAAAAAAAATACGACATATCTTATCAACATTCGCTTAGCACACAAAAAAATAAACAAGTCCATCGCGGGGGGAAAAAAAAAAAAAGATAAGCGAAGCCCGTTCTGTGATTTTGCTAATTGCGCGATCTACTTTAGGCTCTCGATTGAGTGACCTTGACGAACCGCCGTGTATCGGAGGGGGTCGACCCGCGACGGAAGTGCGAATCGATCACCAGTTGCGCGCGTAGGCTGGAAGCGATGAAAGTGAGCGTAATTCTTCCCCGAGAACGAGGTGCCGCTCCTCGCGAGAGCGTGCCCCGTACTAACGGCTACGTTACTACTTGCGTGCCGTGCGAGTCCCAGTAGTCGAAGCCGGCTTGAGCGCGCGCATGCCAAGTAGTTGGGATCGCGGCTGCGCGTACAAGTGGTAGAAACGGAAGATTACCGCGACGCGGCGCGCCGCGGCGCGGTTCGTTCGGCGGAAAGATGTGTAGGCGTTCGGCTGGTGGTTTGCGAAGGGTGGGTGGGGGTCCACCGAAGGATGGAGACAGGGCTGGACCGTTCGAGAGAGATATAGTGGACAAATTGCACCGATAACTTTGGACGAATCGAGCCAGCCGAATCCGAGACGCATCGAGCAGAGAGCTTGAAAGAAACTAAGATTTATCCTTGCAGCGCGAATTCAAGCGGGCTTTATCTAGGAAGAATAATAACCAATTGTAATATAACACAAGCTGTAAATGAAGAATACAACTTGTATACTGTAAATAAATGTCAAATATCTTTCAAATAATGCGAGAATTTTGTTCCTCCATGGGCAGAAACGTTATATTTTTTTAAACTTGATGTAAGAATCTTTCAATTTTTCAAACAGTTTTTAGAATTGCACGTAGCCCTTCATTTTATTAGTCAATTATCTTACCGTGGATAGGACATATTCAGTTACATTCAGATTCTGTTGAAATATTAAAAAATTTAATTATAGATCAGAAAATAAGTTTGATTAAAATAATTATCTAGAACGCTTAAGTATTAATGACAACGTTGCAAAAAGTTTTGACGTTCTGATAACCAATTTGAGTGCCTCATAGAATTATTTTGATAATCTAAATAAAATTATTTTCAAATCTGTTTCTAACTAAATGTTTAAATACTTCGATAAAACCGTTTTTAACCATGTATGCATATTGTATGTAATGCAACGCGATGATCAATAACCGCGAAATAAAATCTAATTGTAAGCTTAGAGAACAAATAAGCGAGTAAAAGAAGAAATAAAGTGTTATAACATCTTTTTCACTTTAATCAGATGTTTTATTATTTTCACATAAACATAAAATAAAATTTCAATAAAGATAGATGTCAGATAAGTTTCGAATACGAGAATCTGTCGTCACCCTCATGGATATAAAAATCGTATATCTTTTATTTATAAGAACTTTCTTTCTCGAAAAATTCTAGAATTGCACATAATCTTTTATTTTATTAGAGCAGAGTCAATTATCTTGCTGTATTATAAACGATACTTTCTTATTTTATAGATAAGTTACGAAACAAGGGAGAACATAAAACTCTGTTTATTAATACTCTACAGTATCTTATTAACGTCTTAAGAACACATAAAAGGTAATGTTGTTTGACATAAATTTTATGTGACAATGTCTAGAAAGTTATAACACCAGTACTTCAACGAGTCTTACGATAAACATGATATTGATTCTTAGCTTGGACACATTTTTGGCTTTACAGCAATCACAACTACTGAAGATTAAATAGCACACTCCAGGCTTTAATTTAATTCTCATTAGCTGACAAATTGTAATCTTGGTATTAAATAGAAGCGAGATACTCTCCGATATAAACCTTGCATTTTATTGTTTTCATAATAAATGTTGCCAATTATTGTTTTAATTTATTTAATTTATTTTATTCTTTTTTAAATTATTTTTCGCGTTC